GTGGTATGCGCATTATATTTTGCATCCACAAAAACCCAGCAGAGTGTGTGTGTGTACGAATAAATTGAAATTTATATTAATTTAAATGGGCAATTAAGCGGCAGATATTTGAAAAGGTTTAGCGCAAAGCTCCCATAATACACACAAAATCGCAACCGACAAACACTCGATTCGATTATATCGCCGGGCTATTAACTGCGAGCCAGCGATTTCTGCCCTGTCATGCCATCGAAAGTCAATGAAAATGCGAAATGTTGCATAAGTAAAATCGGTTTTTATTTTTGGCAGAGGGAATTACAATCGCAAGTACTTTGCTCTTAGCGGGTGTACACATATAAAGTATAAATTCTGAGAACAACCTTTGGGTACTTGGCTTTCATCTGGCAACAATCAGATTTTATCTTCGGCATGTTCATCATGGGAAACTATTTATATGTAGAGGCGCGGGTCTTCAGGAACGGCTGTTTATTTAGGTTTTTTTTTTGCTGATGCTTATCTGTTTATACATGGAGAGAAACTAGGATTTATAATTCTTATTATTTGTTTTGGGTTTCTAGAACTAAATTCTTTCAAAGCAAGAACTAAATTGTTACTTAAATGGGAAAATCACTACTTATATTTCGAAATCTAGAAGTAAGATTTATAATAGGTAAGTTAATTGAATTACAAAACATTTCTCTTCGTGTATCTGTGGGCCTGGCATTATCTAATGGCGGCAGGGAACAGAAGTACTCCTCCAAAGCTTCCTTCCCGGTACGCAGAGTGACGTGTCGATCGTCTTTGGGCTTCTTGGCACTAGCGGCTCCTACACTCCGTGTCAGAAACTGTTGGCCCAGAGGACTGGCAACAACTTCTGGCGTTGCTGTTGTCGCCGCTTTGACAACGCCCTTTGTGATTGGAATACAAAATAAGACCCCGCACAATGGAGCCGCAAAATCTGTGGAAGACTGGCAGAGGCGTTGGCTTGGATTTGGCTCTGGGAAGCGAGTACGCGAACAGCGGGACAGAAGACACAAATCAAACGCATCTGCAGCCGGCAGACAGCTGCTGCGAACTTGGAAAGAAGTCCGCTGTGTATCTAACAACTGTCAATGTATCTTCTCGTCGGCGGGAGTGTGTGACTCTGGCTGCCTGGTAATTACGTGACGTTTTCGGATAAATTGAGATTCGCGGCGTGATTTGCAGGCGGCCATTACTTGGGACTAATGTGCGGCATGCTCTCAGAATTGGAACAAACGCCAAAACGTTTCGATTTTAATGCATTTCTATTAACGGTTTCGGTCTCCGTTCTCTGGTTTTTGGTCTATCCAACACCCGCTCCGCCAGCCGGCGGCTTGCCCAATAAGGCCCAAATGCCGCCAGCTCAGCGGCCACATGGTGACCCAGTTCGTCACTGGAATCGACAAATACTCGTACGAGAGAGACGAATGGCGGCAGGGGAGTGGCAGCAGAGGTTATCAACCCAAAGAGCTGCGTTCAATGCATTGACACGATTTTTGGCTCCGGCCCTGCATAATAACCAACTGCACATTTAACAGTTAACACCCGCGCACTCCCACACACACTGCGCAAAAAAGTAAGGCATTAAAAATACCGCAAGAGCAAATAAAATAGGTTGGGGAAGTTGAACTTCTTAAGGCATATGCAAGTCTCACCCTAATATAATGTTTAAGTTCGATTTTGTGATTAAGCATGTGTAAAACCAGATTATTACAACTTAAAAGTAGAAGGGGAATATACATATTTGCCTAGCCTGCTTTAAACTTTTTAAAATAGATAAAAATTTTCATACGTCAAGTAACAGAATATGCAACTTTATATCCAAGTTGAATATATTGAGTGTTGTCAAGTAGATACCATAAAAAGTTACTTATTTTTCGCCAGAAATTCCCCTTAAAAAGCTGTTGCCACTTGCAAATTTCTCTAATTGGCTTAAAAGAAATCTTCCATAAGACCTTGCCGCAGGCTGTCTGTTTCTTAAAAATAAAAATAAATACAATGTGCGGATTAAAAAATGTTTAGCTCTCCTTGCCGTGTAGGCACTGTAGACACCGAGTGGACTGGGTAACCCTTGCCAAATAGGCGTGCAGCGGGATGCCAAATGCGACGCTTCCTGCCATCCTGCGGCCGTTGTGCCATTCTGAAATCATTTGCGGATGCCATTGCCCCGGCAATGCCTGTGCTTTGTTTATTATATTGTCACTATGCTAATTTTGTTTGGCAGCCCCGGCTGATTGGAGAGTGCGAGTGCGAGTGCGAGTGCATGTGGAATGGATAGTGAACGGCAGCGGAATACATACTATGTATACAGATGTATTGGCCGACGTCGTCGCCGTGACGTTAATGTCGATGTCATGTACCTGCATTTGACATTTTGCACATGGCTTTCCTTGTGATTACAGCCACTGCTCTTGTTGTGCGCCCGTTTGCCTTTCAATAAAAGTGGTTGAATAATCGGCGGCAGTGGCAGAAAGCATCACAAGCAGGAGAAGTAGCAGTAGCAGCGGCATGATACGCGCATTGAAAGGTTCATTTCAATTCGTGTGATTTCATTTCACTTGATTTCGGTTCATTTCGGTTCAGTACAACTGAGCTGAGAGCTCAGAGCTCAGAGCCCAGAGCCCAGAGCTCACAGCTCAGAAGAAAGCGTATTGCGAATTTTGCCCGCTTTTGACTTGATTTGCGTGATGTGCATGCGGAGCAGCGGCGGCGACAGGTTTGATTATATAATCCCGCAAATGTTATGGTATTTTAAGCACTAAATAAATAACAGGCGTGCTTGCACTTAGCCATGCTTCGAAATGCCTTCCAAAAGTTCAGGCCCCGCCAACGAAAGGGAAGGGCGAAAGGCGAAGGCAAACAAGGCTCGGCCAGAAGGCGGCATCTTGAGTCAATCGTGAGAAGAAAGAATTCGCTGGAATGCAGATACACTTGTATCTGATATAGTACAGCTCCAAGTACTGATTGGTTTTGCTCTGCAAATGAAAATTACTACGACTACATCTTGCCTGCCAGAGTAAATGTCATCTGAAAGCATTTTATTCACTCGACAGGGCGTGGTTGTATCAGGAATTCGAAGTTTTTGAACAAGATTTTAGTTAGCTATGTAAAAGCTTTTCGAATTAACACCTCTAATATTTTATTTAGAAATTGATTAAAGACAATGTCAATAACCCATGCGTGTCACAAACATGTAAGGTAAAAGAGAAAATTAGAACCCGAGCCAAGAACTCCCCGAACTCGAAATCAAAATTACAATTTTCAACTAACCGAATCGGGAAAATAGGCAAAACGTGCTAGGCATAAGTGAAAAATTTTTTGGCCGCAGCCCCACTAAATGCTGCCATGACCATATTTAAGAAGCCGGGCCGGGCCAGCAAAAGTCATAGGAAACTTTGTTGTCTGTCGTTCCCGATGTTGCTGTTGCCGCTCTGCCAGTGTGTTGCCTGATGTTGCCAATAGTCAATAAACTAAAACCGGTAGCACGGAAGGCCGGTTGTGAGTTCGAGACTGGCCAACTCACTGGATCCCGATGGCTCCGGCATTAGCAATCGCAATGTGTGGAAAAAGGTCAGCGGGCCAAAGCGCCGATTGCCTGGCTGGTTGGCTGGGATGGGATTTCGATTGGGTTTGAGATTGGCTACGGGTTCGGCTTTTGACTTCCAGTTCCAGTATGACAGTAAAGACTATGCTGGACTATATGGCTGCAATTTTCGGTGCATGTAGGAGAGTGTGCAATGACAGTTTTTCCACTAAGCCATAAGTTCAATGCACCGACAGAGAGAGCCATCATACACTTGGAAAATAAGCAGGAAAAGAGATGGTTTATTCTGAAATGTGGTTAGTCTTTAAACCTCTCATATTTTTATAAAAATATCTCCCAAAAAAAGAGTAATTTTACCTTAAAAATAATACGGTTTTTGTAGTCCCTTTTAAAGGCAATAAATTACCTAAGAAATTGAATAATCATAGGTTTTTCTCTCCGTGCCACTGTGTCTGCGCTGCTGCTGTCGCTGCTCCAACTGTCAATTAATGGCAAATGTCAGGGGCTGGCTTTGAAGCATTAATCATAATTAGTTATGCCACACGCCGGCAACAACAACGATGGCCATTGATATGTAAACTGTAAACTGTAAACAATTAGAGCTGATTTGAAAAATGTTAACTGGAGTCGAGAGCCGTGTTGTGTGTCGGGTTCAAGTGGCAGCTGGCTTTTGGGCTATTTGGGATTTTGACTCTTTGGCTCTTTGGCGCGGTCTGTCGAAAGTCGTGCTCGGCAATTAGCCGCATTTAGGCTTAGGGATTGCCTTTGCCTACGTAACGCAAATGAGTTAACAGACGGCTTGGTGCACATAACCGGCTCCCTGGGATCTCGGCCGGGAGATCTGGAGCGATTCACTTGACGGGGACGGGGAGACAATGGCCACAAAGGTGATCTGTGCGTCAAGTCAAGTTCGTGGGCGGAGTTTCGCTTTCGGTTCGGTTTCGTTTGCTAAGCCCTTTGGGGAGTTATCTAATCCAATTAGGAGCCGACGCAGTGTGAACAGGCTTACGTAAACGGTGCTTAAAGGGAGTTTCGGGTGGTTTCAGGTGGGCTGTGGGTCTGGCTTGACACACAAAACCATTGTTTTCGATTAAGTTTTGAGCGGCAACTGACAAAAATTCGTTATAAATTGCACTGCAGTGGACAGTGGCAGCAGGATCAGCAGCAGAAAGCAGAAAACTGAAACAGCTGCACAGCAAACATTTTAAACAATTATAAAACTTGTTTTACGCTCGACAAAACTACAAACAGCGAAGTGCAGCCAGCGATTTGCCATCAAATGCGGCGTAGCTGTCAAGTGCAGATTTCCCCTTTTCCATTTCAGTTCCTGCTCTCATTTTTCGAAATCCATTTCACTCGGACAATTGTTTTGTCATCGGAAGCTCTTGTGCATTAGTTACTGTATTCACTTTATTCATATTTCCATTTGGTTTATCTAGTGTGGGTAAAAGCCAGTTATGCTGGCTTCCATTCTCAGTACTTACTGTCAGTGGACTTTCGTCTGTTAATATTTATTAATACTAATCTTTGATCTCTAAAAATGAATAATGCAATTAGTGTGTCGTCCCTAGAAACGGAGGATGTGGAGAAACTGTTGGCTGTGATCGGGGATGAGGTGGGTGTCCTTATATTAGTGATTGAAGCTTGAGTTAATGTCCCGAAGGACACTTGCGTGGGCTTCATGCTGGCCGGAATAGGGGAAGTCGACGAGAATCGGGAGGCCAACTTCATGGTGGTTGATAAGCGTAATTTTAATCAGGAATTAGTTTAATTTAGAGTGTTAACACAACTTTTGCTAGGCACAACCCCTGCCCAAATCGAAGCCTCTTTCAAGAAGTTCCTGGCTCGCCCCGACATCGCCATCATTCTGATCAGTCAGGAGAACGCGGACTTGATTCGGCCCATTGTCGATGCCCATCTATTGGCCGTACCCTCTGTGATTGAGATTCCCTCGAAGCAGCATCCCTACGATGCCTCCAAGGACTCGATTCTGAAGCGGGCCCGCGTGAGTATCATGTTGCAGGGGACTCTGTCCAGTCTGTACTTAGACCACGGACCCACAGGGCATTATGAGTCCGCCCAAGAGGCGCAACTAGCTAACTCAACTTTCGCAATCAGTTCTGGGAACGCTGTGAGGGGCTAATGAAGGATTTGCATACATAGTTCTTGCATGCATACCAAATGCCGATGCTACAAAGTCGATTGAAGAGAAAATAAAGTTCACACACATCGATACACACCCAATAAAATGAGAAAATAAAGCTTATATGGGTGCGGGAAACTTTTCAGCTTTTGCGTTTTGAGGAAATTGCCAAAAAAAAAAAGAAGAGTAAAAATAGTGCAGCAGAGAGAAAGAACACAAAACAAAACAAAACACAAAAAATGCGTTGCGATTGCAACAAAATTGAAAACAGCAACCGCACAACAACAACAACAACAACAACAGCAGAGTTGGCAACAAAAGAAAGAAAAGGCCATAACGAAAGTAACAACAAAGTGAACGAAAACGATACAAATAAGCACTGAAATGCCAATACATGGCAGAAATGCAAGAAGCACCCCGACTAAAGCGATATAAAACAAAAACAGCGAACCGAAAAAGGCACAACACAACAGACCAAACAAAATAAAAACTCTCAAAAAGACAGCACAATTTACGTTGTCTGGATGGATATGCTCCGAGCTGCGGGTAAGTTCGGGGAAAGCAGGGAAAAGTCGGGGAAAAACGACTTCTTATGGGCTGCAACAAAAGCATGCGAAAACAATATTCGAGCAAAGTATTTTACGCCAACTTTTCGCAGCGAGAAGTTAGCGCCGAGAATGCATTCAGAAACTTCTGCTCCGGTGACAAGTTGGCTGGAACCGGAGCGGAGGTTGAATGGAGCCGTGTAGCCCTGGTGGCTCTCCAAAAAGGCAGCCTACAAGCAGGCAATGCGCCGCAAGTCCAACAATCGAAAAGCGCCCCAAGCTGAGCCATAAAATGTTTAAGACAATTGTTACCAAGCTGTTCAAAAATCTATTTATCTTAAGCTTAGAATATCCTACACAAACTACTGCTTGCATTAAATTATTTCAAAATTTTCAGAATGATTTTCAGCCATTTTCAAATACTGATAATTACGCTACCTTTCCACAGTTTAGCCGCTTTGCCAACATCAAAGCATTGTGAATTAATGAGCCGTGATTTTGGTGAACACCGTTCTGGCTGGCTATCAAGTATCTGCCATTGTTGAACACGAATTATTTAGACTATTCCATTGTCAGGATTTGTGGGCCTAATTAGCTGAACACGCCAGTCACCGCGGCGTATGCGTTATATTTCTGTTAATGCTGCTGCAATTCAGCTGTCACCTGCCAAAAAGCATTTAGCTGCAGGCACTCCCACTTTCCCTGGGCCTTTTTGCAGATGAAATCCATACTATCGGGAAACTACAAAAGGTAAATGGTACAGAAGCCTGACTACCTATATCTAGGTAGGTACCTGTCACACCTCTTGCACTCAAGCCTAATTAATAGAAGTTGATTTACATTTTCGTCAGCAGAATGAAATCAATTGGCAGCGGAGTAATGCAGCTGCGACGAGACCCCTTAAGGCTCGAGGAAGAACTTTTGACACACAGCGGCAAGTTTTGCGCCTTTTTGTCAGTTTACGGAGAAGAAAGAAAGCTAAATAAATAAGCGACTAACTGACTGACTGCAGACAGCGGAGAAACGGAGCAACTGCAGCAAAACTTTTGCGCCGAGCAATGGGCAACATAAATAAATGAAATTATTCAAAAGTAGTTTGGAATTCTCGTGACAGCGCATAAAAACAAACAGCTGAATGCAATTTGGCTCATTCTAAGCCATGCGAGAGGCAAAAGTGAGAATAAAACAGCATCAGCAGCAGTCTCAGCTCCAGTTCCAGCTCCGGCTTCACCGCCAGACGATGACGGAGATAGTCAGATTCAGCATCGGACAGATGGGGAGCCAACGGGGAGTTCCTCAGTCAGTGAAAATGAAATGCATAGACCCAAAAACGCATCGAGCAGCAGCAGACCGAAGCCTCGGACCCACAGAGACTGGCGTAATTATAATTGGAACTGGGAACTCTGAGCCCTGAGAACACTGAGAACTGAGCACTGAGAGCAGCACTGAACCCTGAGATCCAAGAACCGAGCTGACTGACAACTGACGGAGAATGAAGGACGGAGAACGGCAAGGAGACTCTCGGCTGAGTGCGGAAACTGATGCTACATTTTTGGCAATTCAATTTCGGAAATGAAATCGAGACACATGGACACAGAGCCTCCGACAAACGGGGCTCCTTCATCTGTTTGCCAAATTGAGCAAAAGATGCCGGATCCGGAATTAACAAATGGAATTGTTGCTCGGCAAATTAACAGACAACTGAGGGTACTCGACAAGCCCACCAACTTCCCCCGGCAATCGCAAAATTATTGCGTTCGAGAACTTGTTAGTTCAATCAGCATATCAGTATATCACGAGCAGCTTTTCCTTTCCTTTCCCCCTCCATCTATGTGCATATATACTGGTAGGGAGGGGACCACGCCCACACAGACAGCACTTGACATCCGCAGTGGAAGCGACGTGCTCGAAAACAAAGTTAATTAAATGATCTGATCTCCATTATTCCCAAAGAGCTAATCTCAATTACAAAATTGAAATGAGCAGAGCGACACTTGGAGAAAAGGAGCAGGGCTTTGTAATATTAGATTCTATAATACAATCCTACTAAGAAACATATCTTTTATTAAAAAACAAAGTCTAGCTTAAAATAAAACAACATATTGCTAATATTTTCCTTTTCTCACAGTGTACAATAAAGGAGAGCAATAAACCGAAGCCACAGAAACCGATGAAACTTGGCCAAAATGTAACTCGAATGTCAAAGAAAGCTGGGAGAGTAAACCGGACAATCGAACGGAGCCGATTAAAGTGCAGCAGCTCTGGTCGGAGCCGTAGCCGGAGATTAGCTGCAGGGAATCGGTCACTATATGCTGCTGGCTAACTGGATTAGTTGGCTAGTAGCAATCGACACCGCACAAAGCGTTTCATTAACCATTGCAAATTGGCAGCAATTCATTGAGAGGCATTCAAATCCTGTGCGTCGCCGTGTGTGTGTGCACTGCCAATTTGCTTCTAGCACGTAGCAGATGGATATTATGTACATACACACATATACATATGTCTGTGAGTGGTGTGTGTGCAGCCGAACTCAATTCTCCGAATCACTGAGCTAAACAAAATCATTGAAATTACCATTGTCTGGGCACCGAGTGGATAAGCACACACGGCACGGGCAGAGGCAGCGCCATTGATATATGGCATATTCCCGAATTGTTAGAGCACATATGGAGGCACAGCCTTTGGTCACTTTGCGGGTCTGGGTCTGCCTTCAAGGCACCGAGACGGTACGTGTGATTGGCCCTGCCCCTTGGCCTTTGGTCGAGATTGGATTACTTGATTTGCCAGCCAAGTGTCTAATTAATTACTTTGCATTTAAATTAACTCCCGTTTTAATACGACGAAGCCAGCATCAATGGCAGAGTCCCAGGTTGAAGTCCGTGCAATTCACTGAGAAAAGTAAAAGGAGTTTACAGTGTACAAGTAAGATAAAGTATAAAGTTAAGTCCTGGCTAAATGCATGTAATTACTTAAACAAATTGAGATTTAAGGGGTTATACTTATAGTATTTTTTAATCGATTTAACCTGAAACTATATACTGAAGTTAGGAGAAACCATTTAAGCTTGACATACCAATTACCAATTACGTATTTCCTTTTTCCGAGTGTGCGCCTGCTTGATTGGAGGCGTGGCAGCTGCATGTTGCGGGGCGGCCATCACTTTGGCTAATTTGTATTCAAAACACAGAAAGCAGTGTCAGTGTTTCAATTGATTGAATGAGTCTGCCGGCCGGCCCCCCAAACCGAATTCTAGAGACTGGAGACATTAGACAACGGACAGGATGTCGATGTCGGGAGATTAGCAGCCGGGCCAGAGTTCACCTGACTCGCTTTGACTCGGCCTAATTGGAAGTGACAAATGAAAGCTCGCCTTTGCCCTGCAGTGTTTGCACTTCGTCCCGGACTTTAACAGGTTGGCGAGGACTCGGAGTGTCCTTATTTTAAAGCAGGAATTCGCTATTAATTTTCCATTGTAATCGCAACGGAAGCCGCACTCAGGCGCTCCACTAATTTGCCGAGCATTGCAACTTCGCCGCTGCCATTTCTAACTGGCGAAACGAGTCCTTTGTTGTTTTCCAGCCATAAAATGACTGTGGAAATGGCTGCAATAAACCACAGGACTATTTTGGATCCACTTCATATGCATAACAAATGAATAACTTTCGTATTATCCCAGAAAATGTAAAGAAAAAATTGCACGTAAACACAGATAAACAATTGAAATGCGATGAAAAAATAATAATGGCAAATGAAAACAAGGGGTCCATGGTGCTGGGTGCATGGTGCACAAAGGATAAAGGATGGGAAGTATGGTTTATTCAAATAACAATTGCCAAATACTTATTTAACCAAAATAAAAGGCGGCATAGCAACTTTCTGGCTTTCTGCTTTTGGGCTTTGTCGGTGTCGGTGTCGGTGTCGGCGTTCGCCGCAAAATGTGCAAAAATTTGTATAAAAATGCCCGGGTAAAGTGTGCCACACACATATACCGAATACACCCACACAAGCGCAAGTGCAACAATAAAATACCAGCGAGCCGCTAAACTTAAGGGTGTTGGCTTTTCTGTGTGTGGGCCGGGTTCTCACCATCATTTTGGGGTAATGCAAAATTACGTTATAACGGCATAAATTTAAATAAATGCCGGTCTCAGGATTTTTATGCATTTTTACCGCATAACAAATACTTTTGTTGCCCCCAGCCACCAACATTCTGCTCTAATGTGGCTTCGCCACGCCCTCCGCCCCCATACATACTTTCCAAACACAAACAGTTGGGGTCAAAATAATAGCATTGGAAATGTTGTATATCTATTAATATATTCTAATAACCTTTTGACGGATTTTAAAGCTCCATCATAGTTTTTAATAAAAATAGAGAAAACGTAGCTTAGAGAGAACTACAAGACCTTGTAGGAGAACATCTTTTGTTACGATAATAATATTGAAGAATTTGGCTTAAAATATTTAAAGAATAAACAAATCTCAAGATCCCAGCACTATTACCTTCGGCCCAACTGTAGAATCTAACAATTCGTAGGCGGCAGTAACTGCGGCTG